TTTTTATAGGGCTTCACAATGTTTCTGCAGGTTCTTTTTTGTGACTGAACCGCTTGGAACCTCAGCTTGCAGCTGTATGGTTCTGATAGGGTCAGGAACTGATCTGCTAGTTTTTTTCCAGATATGTAATTTGTTTTAAGGGCAGGGGTACCCCTTGTACTCCATGAAATACAAACTTTTGCTGTGAAAAAAAAAAGAGATTGTGACCTCATTGATGCTCATGAATATAGAAGGATTGTAGGGGTGCTACAATATCTAACAGTAACCAAAATTGATATATGTCATGCTGTAAATAGAATATGTCAATTCATGCAAAATCCTACACTTGCTCACCTATGACAAGTTAAAAGGATTTTACGCTACGTGAAGGGGACCTTGCAATATGGCCTTTGATTTTCTTCTTCCAGTACTTTGTCCTTAACAGGATTTTGTGATGCAGATTGGGCGGGTTGTCCTATTACATGAAGAAGCACTACTGGGTATTGCATATTTCTTGGTGCAAATTGCATCTCTTGGTCTTCGAAGAAGCAGCCTACTATAACACGCTTTATTGCAGAAGCAGAGTATCGTGCCTTAGCCTCTACAACAGCTGAAATGGTATGGATTACTTATTTGCTTCGAGATATTGGAATTTCTCTACCTTCACCTCCGCAACTATTCTCGGACAACATAAGTGCATTACATATGTCTATTAATCTTGTGTTTCATGCTCGAACAAAGCACATTGAACTAGATTATCATTTTGTTTGAGAAAAAGTGGCATTAGGAACACTTATCACCCGATATATTCCCAGTACTGAACAAGTTGTAGACATTCTTACTAAGCCATTCCCTCGGCAACAATATCAGCTTTTACGTTTCAAGCTTGGAGTGGTAGCTTCACCCTACTCTAGCTTGAGGGGGAGTATGAAGGCACAAGTACAAAATCAATCAAGGCGTGAGACCAGAGATAATGAAAACAAGCAAGAAATCATTCACACAGCAGAAATTGAGGAGAGACAGAAGCAACATCTCTAAAAGCAACGGTCAAATTATATTAGTAAAGCAACCTGTAGTTTCCTTAACTGTACCTCAATTACAGCATCTAGATTAGCTCCTATAAGTGTATATATTGGTATATGCTTGTACAAAATATCACACAACTGAATATAGAATCGGTATTCTCCCAAAATCTTTATTCCATTAAACTCTTCAATATATATATAAAATA